TGATGCTGAATATGTATAAAAACCTCTTCACTAACTTTTTAGTTACATTAATTCTAATTATTGTTGTCACTATAGCAAAATTTTGTTCTAGAATGATCTTTCATTATTGCATATTTCTTGCACATAATGCGAAATTGAACGAAGTACACTATTACGCAATTGTATAGTAATTTTAACACGAACCGTAAATTAAATTTGTGGAATTGAGAGTGTTTTATGTCAGTCTCATTAGCATCCAATTCCAGAAGACAATTGACATCCTTTTGTCTAGCTCAGGTAAAAGCTGACAATTATTCACAAATAAATAATAAATAAATAAATAAATAAGTCGTTAATCATTCGAAATTGTTACAGGTCATTCAAACAAGGCGACAAATGACCTTATACGCTGTAACATGAAATGTCTCACTCGGTCGGAGATGCTTATTTATTTTAACAAAATGATTTCATCTTTAAAAAATATATTATTTTTTCTAAAATTAGACTAAACTAATAATCGTCTACGCCCCCATTTTATTACAACGAATATTATGAATACTTGTGATTCTAATAAATTAGAACTATATAAAACCAAAAACGTTCATGTTATCGTTTTGTAATAACAATATATTGTTTTTTTCGGGTCAGTATTTATATTTTGCCAGTTCTTCTATGTCATGTCGTGAAGTGTGAATTATGTTTTTGTTGCTTAAAAGTTATACAGATATTATATATCTGCGATGTCTGTATTCCAGTACCACGAAAAATAAGATTTTGAAATTTCAAACCGATTCCACTTATTGTTAAATTGATGAGCAATAAAGACCTTTCATATGTTCATTTTTAAAATGACATGTCACCACCCAACTAAAACTTTGGGTTTGGATTCTTTGTTTGCAAAATTAAATTGAACAAGCCCCAAAAAAACAAATATAGTGAATTCAATATACTAAAGATTCCGCGCTTATACAGGGGGTTCTCTGCAGTGGTCGGCAAACTTTTTGTACGACTAGGCCAAATATGCACATTGGCGGTAGCATACGGGTCACGTTAATCTCCGCCTGTAAACAATTGCCATATTAAACTTCAAATTATGACGCACCCACAACTCCTATTTCAGTGTTAATTACAATGAAAGGTAATTCGGCAAGTGGACGTCGTACTTTCGCTAACGCTTATTACTGCAAAACAAATGCCGTACAACAGCCATCGTTACGACATACATTAGTACGCAGTTGATAATAATTTTATGGCATGTTCTGTTTTATGCATCAAAAGTGAGGTCGTTCGAGGGCACCAAAAAATTTGTTCACAGGCCGCATTTATCACGCGGGCCGCAGCTTGCCGACAACTGCTTTACTTTTGATAAACCTGGCATTGAGTGGATATAATATTTGATCAAACATTGACGATAAGTAAAAAGCATTCGTAGTCGGAATTGTGACCGAAATCGATCGTATGTTTGAGCAAATAAACTTTTGTACAGAATACCACCTACAATAAAAATGCATTGAACGTTCTTGACACAAAAATTAATTTATAAATTGCATGTTTCAAATTAGTGACCACGTTGAATTTTAATTCTATTTTTATGTAAATCAAATTATTCACCTAAATGATTCTTTCATATAATTGGAATGTATAATTGAGGGACGTATCAAATAGTACATAAGCGAAAATAAAATTGATCAAGTATGGGCATTAGTTACATCACGTTTTTAAATTGTAAACTGCCCATCGATCATATTCGAGCAGAGCGATGTTTGCACATTTCCATTGCAAACTCTTAAGCAATGACAGTGGATTACTCAGTATTTTAAAACTACTCTTCGTCGGAAATCACCGCTTCCGGTTACGTGTCTAATTGTGTAATAATATAGCACGTTCATGTTTTAGGTCACTGACATAATTGAATCCAAATTTCGAGGAAATTTCTGAATTCAATAATAACGTGACGAAAGATAATAATAGTTCATAATAAAATATATTTCATAAAAATATTCCATTTCAGAATCTATTTTTATTTTACTCTTGATAAAGTTAATTAAAGGTATGTATAGCCTGTGCACAACTGACGAATAATAGTATATTCTTATTTTAGTAATAAACACAAAGCATAAATAGTTTTTTTTTAAAGTAGTGAGTTTTATAAACACGTGGAAATTATACCTTAATCGCAGAGACAAGTTTGACTGGATGATCATCTGTTTCTAATGCATAAATAAATTATTATCCTAAGAATTGACCAAGCGAGTAGGCTCTCATATATAACACAACACAACAATAAATGTTTCAACGAATAAGCTACTGGTAAATGGCAACGGGAGCAAATCTAGTCACAACGTTAATATAGTTCGTTTCTATGTTGGTTATGCTTGTCATGGTTTTTATGATTGTCATTTTCACCAACTTCAGTTTGTTTTTTTGTTCTTTTGGATCACTTTCCTCATTCAAAATTACCAAGCAAGAATTTTAGTCCTAATATAATGCTAACAAATTTAGATGCATTGACTGTAAATGTGTCATCAGGATTACCATGTATTAATATTATTTTGTGCCAGAAATGGAATGAGTCCACAATTTGCTAACTTAAAAACACGATATATTTTAAAACATTTGTATAATGTAAATGAAATATTATTATCGTGATGCCATTTAGATTGCCAGGAGGATTCTCAGAAGCTTCATAGGAGATTTTCATTAATGTCCAGATTTTCATAGAATGTCATCGTAAAAGTTGCAATCCTTCCTGTATTTGTTTTTAACATAAATCTTGTAAATACTAACTTAAGGTATATGTCTAATTTCACGGCTGATATTTACCATTTTAACAGCGCAATCTTCGAAAAGTTTGCTATTGTAAATGTTACAAATCACAATCTACCAGAAGACGCAGTACTCCATGAAATACGTGGGTGCGTGCATCATGTACACGCATTTGCATGGAATATATCTGCGATATTAGGGATGGTGATCTTGTGATCGTACTAAACCAGCTAGACCGAATTCAAAAGAGACTAAGATTGTCTCTTTCCTATCGACGAAATTGTGCATTGCTCTGCTCATTTTACCGATATTAAAATGGAATGTAAACTAAATAAACTTTCGTAACTCGTCTCCCCCTCAAAAATATTTTCAGTCCTAATACTCGCGACATCTATCTCTGCAACGCGGTCGAAAATTTTGACTCAATAAATGGTTTTCCCCTCATATATATATATGTATCCTATTACACTACAGGTAGTGGTAACAGTTACATTTACTCAAATTCCACGCGAGAATGTTAAGTTTGGGATAGGTATGGGTAAAAAATACTAAAAACATACATTTGAGAAACCCCGAGGTTTGGTTTACCCAAAGTTAAAAACTGCAGTTTTTACCTCTTCAAAAAACGTACGCGTCGCGCACCTTGGTTGATGACGTTTCAGGTGGTCGGTATTGGACTGGTGATACATATAAAGTCATTCATGTTGTCCACAGTTTTTTTTATGGATTTTCGCTTTCGTGTCAAATATAAACCAAGCATCTGGGCGGTGTATATTCGACGTTTCGCCATATATGAAAGCAAGGTTTCGACACCCATATTTTTTGCATTTTTCGTCGAAGCCGTGACGCAGTTTCGAAGTCTAGTTTTGCACCAGACAGTATGATTTTATTTTTAGGGTAAATGAATAGAAAATACATGTGTATCAGAAACCTCAATTTCAAACATAGTTTCAGTAAAGAGGTTTTCGATTCATAACAGTTATATAAAGTTATACAACTCCAACAATAATAAGACCACGGTATTTTTTGTTAGAAATTATGTGGCCTTGTTATTCCATTTTTGTGGCGATGAGATCAACACTAAGCGAACAATATCCGATGAGCAGCATTTGTTTAAAAACTTTGAATTTAATTATACGAGTCCCATTAACCAACAGAGCAGAGCTTATACCAAATCAAACTAAGCATGACGCGAATATTGTTCCATGTATGCGATATAAAGTAGATACATTAAATCGAGGGCATTTAACAAAGATGCATTTTTGAATCCTTGTGGTAAATTAAATTATAGATAGCTATTATATTTAATAGATCATAACAACAGTATAGAAAAACTTAGCCCGAGGTTTTGTTTTATTTTCTTCTTACCATCTAAAAATATACAAAACTGAAATTCCTCGAATAGCATTGCGTTAGGTTTGTCGAAATTGATTCAAACAATTTATTTAAAAAGAACAATTGTTATAGTTAAATGTTTTTTCACGTCGTATTATGACGCAAAGTTATGTCTAGTCTACATCAATCACAGAGCATGGAGCGTGACACCAGGTTTCCACTTGTTTTAAATAACGCAGTTCGCCGCAATATATCCTTAATTTCTCTGAAATGTTAGTTGAGTGCTCTACTAGTAGTGATTTTAATTTAGGATATTAGCTTCTCGTAGCATTTCAATTAAAGGAAAGCCTCATTTTACTCTGTTACAACGTACTTATGCCGAAAGGTGAGCATAGCGATTGTACCAAATTCCACGATATCAATGAATTTTTTTTTTTCAAATAATAAATGTGGCGATTATGGTGTACATAAAAACCAGCGATAGCAAACCACAATATTTAGGTTAAAAAATAAGCGAGGCTTGATTCTATTTTTGCGTTTGGTAGATTAATTCATTTCTTCGAAGCACCCCAACAAAGCGTTATTTTTGATCAGAAACGTTGTCTAATCACGACCATTGATTACAATAGGTCGTTGCAGTCTGCAGCCAAGTCACGATTATTCTGTGCGTGAAAGACGTGAAATATTGCTGTTGTCATGATTTGAAATCAGTTTACATGTCGTTGTTCAGGCGTAATGAATGAAAGCAGATAAACCATACATTGGGGAGTTTATACAATATATGTATAAATGCTAAAAGGTACTGGTTCTAGTTTTCACATAGTTAAATAAAACATATGTGGTCAAGTGGTCAAGAGAGTATATTATTGCAAATCAATTTTTCTATCGAATATTTTCTTTTCAGGTGTCTAAGCTAGACTTTAATAATATATAATTTGAAGATCCCCAATTAACAGACATGCCAGTGATGAAATTCCGAATGATAATGAATATCATGCTGATAGTTTTGTCTAGTATCATACTGGAAACGAGTGAAGGGAAGCGTCTCTACTGCTATCAAGGTTTGTTGAAAAATTGAAGAATGTTTTTGATAGTTCTTTAACCAATAATAATCTTATGTATACATTATATTTACATTTCTATGATTCCCATACGTACCCTAAAGCATGTTGAGACTTTCGAATGCGATTCTTTTGTTTTATTTCTGCGAACTATTCACAAGTAGGATAAAAAATTGCCGTCTCCGTTATAAAGTAATAAAATATTTTTGATTTCTTACGAACTCGGATCAAAAATATCATAAACGACGATCACTTATACGTATAGTTTTATCAAACAAGTAAGATTCAATTTACACTGAAATTTATGTTTGGTTTTTAGGAGGCGAATCGATCGGTTCGAGCACCGCCAAACCATCTACAGAACCATCTTCATGGTCTTCATGGTCAACCTGGAATCCTGAAGACGGACCGAAAAGATTTTCGAAAGATATGTGTTGTGAAAATAAAGAAATTTCATCCGAAAAGCATACTTGTTGTATGGGTGCAAAAGTACTGAAAAAACATTTTAAATGTTGTGTTTCTGGTATCTACGTTCACAAGTCCGCCAGTTGGTACGTTGCACAATTAAACTCTATTAATTAAATAAAAATAAATCATTGAAATTTTATTAGTTTCAAAATACTGCACATATTTAATCATTAGTTCCATTAGTCCAAGATTAAATGAATTCTGGCCTCAAATGCGGTAAAACATGAACACCTCAGTATAATTTGACAATTATAAGTTGCCGTTTTGGCAATGTGGATGAATTGCAAAGTTTTGACCAGGTTCATCAAGCACCATATACACTTAACGTTATATTCATTTTGTTAAAATAAAAATTTGCTCAAAGCAAAGTTAAGCGCACTTACATGGAAGTTGAAAAGACTGATCTCTTGGCAAAATTTCGCGGAGCCACTGACAGGCCACTGACTAAAATTATAGAATTATGGTGGTGCATTACACGTTAGAAAATACCGATTATGCAACAATTGCGAGGTATTACAATCATTGGTTAGTGAATTACACATAAATGAAGTTATAGGAAGTTATATGGCTTTTTTGTCTGAGGTCAGTTGATACAACTTCAGCGGCCATATATTAAATACTGGCATTCAACCTCTTTTCTTTTTTAAAAGTGAGTGTACGCCCCCGACTGATTGGTTGAATAAAGAGATCAAAAACATTGGGGAGCTAGCTGTGAAGTCCAAACAACTCAATCTTTCTCTTCAAAAGCAGAAAGAAAAACTTGAAATGTGAGTACATTTTTTACCGTCTCAAATTAGTGGATTTGCAACACCAATATTACTTTATGTTTAATGTGACGAATAAGGAACATAGGTTAGTCCTTTTGGATAATGCCATTTTTTAAAAGATAAAGAAAGTTTTTAATTTGCAATGAAATATATTTTTCTCAAAACAGTCTTAAAAAATTAGAAGAACAACTAAGAAGAGACCTTAAAGTTATATTGAATAGATTTGACGAAGATGATGAGCTTCGCATCGTTCATAGTCTGGTGAGGATTTATTTCCCTTTTAAATCATTTCATTCAAAATTGGAATTTTTATACTCATGATTCATAATTTAAAAATTTACACATAGTAAATAATTTTGGAATTGACAAAAATTCATCTTTTTATTTCTAAGGTAAAACAACCCCTTACAATTTCTATAACTTTAATAGCAATATTGATACAAATCACTGAAACAGATTGACTGTTTTATAGGTAAAATGTTTGCATGAGAAAGAAGCTGACAATATTTTCAAAGATAAGGGAATAAAGGAGTTGGAAGACAAAAGTTTAATTCAACGAGAGCTATCAAAAATAAGGTCATTTTTCAAGCGGCAAAGAGGATTTTCATTCATCAGCAATAGAATGGACGACGTATCAAAAGAATCAGATGACGTTGCTCGGTGCTGGAATAACGACAAAAACGAGCCATCGGAAAAACTGCTTATCTGGGGATTTGGAAATATGGTAACTAATATTTATTGATTTAGATTTAATAGGAATAAAAGCTATAATGCATCCATTCGGCCATAGAGTTTTGTTTATACAATGTTATGCCATATCTCACCTTGACTTATGACAGCAGCAACATGTTCGTTTACGTGGTATGAGAATTTGGCATCTGGTGTAATATTCAATATTTGGCTCATACAAATATCGCATGTATAGATAACTGACTCACGCTAAGTGACCCACAAAAATATAATATTCCTAATGATGATAAGTAGATATAGACCTCGTGATTTTTAAAGATTATTAACAAATAATTAACTATATATATAAATTCCAGGTTTTCTTTTTCCCACTGCAAAAGTAACTAAAAGTAATTTTTGCAGTAATTGAATTACAAGGTTTTTAGATCACCGCATAACTGTTTTTCTAACCGTAGGAAGAAATAGCTACTACGTATAATTTAAATTTTAAATTACAACTTAAAATTTCAGTTTGGTCCATCAACGACTCCACCGCCAGAGGCACCAGTTGGTATATCCGACAGCGCAAAACAGGTTATTCACGAAGATTTGGAGAAGACGGAAAACAAATTAGATGAAAGAATAAGGAATCTTATTGAGATCAGTCTGGTTGTGGAAAAAATTGAGAACGAAATAAAAGTTCTTTCACAAATGGAAGGAGTATTTATTCGCTCTTTCACGGAATCTAAGAAAGTTGAAGACGAACTGGTAGCAGCGGAACAGGAATTCGATGACGGCCTACCCATAATTTCACGTGCAGCGCGTTCAGTAAACTATTTGGAACACAGAAACAAAAGAGAAGTTGCCGTTTCTGCAAAGCCGTGCAACATTAGCGGATGGCAATATACAGTACAAAAAACACAAGAGCTTTTACAGACAGCGGAAGAGAAAATTGTTAGTATTGATGTATTTAATTAAAATGAATATTTCTGGTGGTTCGACTAAACTTGCATTGAATTCATACAAAGATACGAGGAACCGTTTAATCACTCGAGTCGCCACTGTATTCATAATGTCAATAATCAATAATATTTATTAGCTATGTAAAATTATAACTCATTGAATATCTTTTTTGTATCGTTTTGATAAATACATTATCATCAATAAAATATATTCCGCTTGAGATAGGCATCAAGAATTCTACCAAATCTTTCGCATACTCTATTATGAAAAAAAAAACATCGGTGGCAAATGACTATTCGAGCCTTCATCCGTTATTCAAGACAAAACTTTAGGGCAGTCACCTCCAGATGAAACTTTTGCAAACAATCTACTTCTCATCATTGGGAAAAGTCTTTTTACATCATATCAAGTAGACAGTCCGTACGTGTTCATAACTTATCACTCAAAATGTGAGGCATTTGTCCAAGTAAAATTCTGTCGCATATAAATTTATAACTCAAATCGTTAAAATTACCATGTCCTATTGACCTCTCGACGTTTAGTAATTGTCGGCCTGTTTATAGTGTATAAAGGCTCAAATATGTTGTTAGAACGCATTGTTTGCGAGCGAGGTTGATTAATTAAAGCAGTTACTTTTGATTCAATCTTGTATCCGTCTTTTTTAAAACATTAAAGAAATATCACGAAGAAATATCAATTCAGGAAGCTAAAACTAAATTGATCGAATGCATAGCTTTCCTAAACGTAGTGTGCATATAGTTTTCTTGATAACTTCAACATGAACAGCTTCAAGTCGTTTGAATCCAATTCTTCCGTTCAAGTTGATTAACATGCTGCTTGAGTTTGTGGTGTCTTTTGTCCCCTTTTAGTAATATGGTTGCTCGTTGAATTGTCACGACCTTTCTCAGTACAGACATACATTAAAAAAGTTTATGTTTGTTTTAAAAATGACTGGATCGTGAAAAACAACAAATGCCCTCGTGTATGTTATTATGACAATTCTACTTAAAGTAAAAAACACTGTTTACAAACAAAACAAATGAGGAGATCTAAACTAGTGCTATCTCTAGAAATATTATCGTGAGTTACCAAGTTGAAAAAGTGCAGCAATCAAGAAAGTAGAGTAGAAAGTAGTAGCGCTAACTATAGGTCGTTGCTGCAGGCATTTTCACTATTCAGAGCCTTGTATGGAAGAGGGACGCATTCTTACTAGACACTATACAGATGCTGGTATTCGATCTCGATATTTCATTGAACTTATTCGCTAAAACGAGGTAAGAGTGATCTGAATTTTGTCGTCGGTGCAAAAACCTTGTAACTATATGAGGTAATAAATATGTTGTAAAATAACCAGGCTTGTTCATGGGACATATTTTTCTGTCCCATCCCATCCCATGAAAATTCATGCCTGTCCCATCCCATCCCATTGGATTCTCATGGATGTTTACCTGACCTTCGATGTCCGAAAAATCCTCTACTTCACCATTGCAAAATTTCAGGTGTATTTTTAAAGGGGTTTCGCAAGTTGGCGCCTATAAACTAGTTCATATGTTTCATACCATTGTTTTGATTGAAAACATTCAACAACTTGTCATTCAAAGTACTGGTGGGACAGTTTAGTCTAGTTTATCGCATCTATCAAAATACTAATTTTTGATTACTGCAATCAAACTAAATCTTCTAGGAGACAAAGTTATCATTGAGTTATTTGATTCATACTTGAATTTTTGAAACACAACTAAAAACTAGAAAATAACGTGCAAAAATGAGGTAATGTTTACAACCATGCCTGAGATTTTGTCTGAGTGACAAAAGTGTCTGAGCAACTGCTAAAACGTGATCACGTCACTTCTTGCATTTTGCTTATTAGTTAATGCAACGGAAGTAAACAAAATTTAAATTTATGAATATTTAGGTCTAGTGTCTACAAATAGGACTATATGCACAAAGATACACGCAAACTGACAAAATGTTTGCCTGACTATGGCAATCCAGTATCCTTCTGACACTCGTTTTCTGATTTTTTCAGGAAGCAGCCCAATTCTACGGCCCAACTAGTCGCATGTCAAGTTATCAATTTGCTGCTCTGCCCATCGACCGTTTATGATAGTTCAGTTAATCTGGGTAATTCCTGTACCCTTTCCTTAGCTTTCATGTTACATGCAAATCTGATGTAAACACAGTTATAAAAAAAGCAGATAGCCCCCCTTCTCGGGCCCGATCGCAATGAAAAAAGTTACTGGGTTATGTAGACTAGCATCCCAGACAAGATTCGTCCGAATCGGCCCACCAGTTTCCCGGAAAAGCTAGAATTCTAATCGATCGCGCTCTAGAATGTAATATTTCATTAACTATCACCTATACGTTATACGCGATATACGCAATATACGTCCTCTTGTCCCATGAGAAAAACACATTTGTGCTGTCCCATCCCATCCCATGGGACGTTTCCCATGGACAAGCCTGAAAATAACGCATTGGTCATTTTCTTGAGATGGTTGTAATTGCAAAATATGCTCGTCTTCCCGAGTAATTGTTGCTGTTTTGTTATGAGGTTACTACATCTCTGAATGGAGTCATGGTTTAGTTTAGATGAACAACTGGTTTAACATTATTATAATATCTACATTAAGCCTATATCATCTGCGAATTTTGTTAAATTCTAAATCTCCCTTAAAATGAGGCAATATATATTATCATCGCACCAACGGTTTGCAGCGTGTAAAATGTAACAACAATGTCACAACGAGAGGGGCCTCCAGCCTTATGTACCTCTTCATTCAATATTGAACTATTATTTTTTTTAATTGTAGAGGCAAATTCCAAAATGGAGTCTAAAATTTTATAAAACTGATAGTTGTTTTTATAATTTCGGATCTTTTTATCGTGGATCCGTTTATTTCACAGAATGAAATGGTAATTTTAGTTATCAGAAATGTTTTATTTATCAGTAATTGGGCCATGCCTTTTCGTGACCGTGAGTAGAAACGGGTATTGTGACGTCGGTGTTCGTTCTGGTGTAGTATTCAGCATCGAATTACTGAAGATGTTTTTAAATTCAACTCGCGATCCAATCTACTTTGGTGATTAGCGTACGTATCTTGCCTGTAACTATTCGACGACACGTGTATTAGGTCATAAACTCGAGTCTAACCCCTCGACGGAATGAACCTTTACGACTGTGTTAAACATTTTTTTATGTTACAATATAAAAGCGATTAAATGGACGTTCGTAATAAAGTTCGTTCGCCTTCGCTGCTGTAAGCTGGCTATCCTGCCGTCTTCATTTCGTTAAACACAATTTTAAATTTTATATGTCACCTTGAATTGCACATAATAAATTCGATTTGAAATATATTTTGATAAAAAGAAGCATAGGTTTTTTTAAGCACATCAGGAGAAAACACGTAATTTATATAATATGAAAACACGGTCACAAACAAACAAACAAATAAACAACCAAACAGACAAATACCTATCAACATACTTACCGATCTTAAGATCGATAAGTAATTAGTATGAGTCGGTGATGACATTGTACCGTGAGATTACAAGTTTTATCATATGTAATCATTGCATCTTAATTAATGTTTCCTCGCGAATCTCCATTGTTTGATGCCTCGTGTTATAAATATAGGGTGGTATTGTCATTTCAGTCATTTCAAACAAAGCTTTGTATGAGCATCCACTAATATACGCCAACTTTATTTTATATGGACCTGAAAGGTGTGACTTCGCGTGTAACCAGCGCTGGATTAGCATTAAACAATATAAGCACGTGCTTAGGGCACCAAGCAAAGAGGGGCAGCACAGAAATTTTAGAGCCGAATTTTATATATTTTTTCCGTGTTTATTGAAATATATATTACGAGTTCACCAGGCGACTCAAACTTCAAAATGTTTGCTTATTTTTTGCCTTTAAGTATCATATTAACCTTTTTTATTAAAAATAAACACTGACACTTATTTATTTGACACGAAATGGGCTTATGAGTCGTTTTCGTAAATTGTTGTTGTTTTTCTTCCTAGTATTCTCCTTGTTGCTGCATTTTTGTTTAAAAAAATTATTTTCCTTTCAACAATTGGACCAATGAACTATTTGCACTATGTGGCGGTTCCACGATCGTATTCCAACAATCTAGTGGTCAGCGAAGTCGGGAGTTTTTTTAAGAGGTAGACCAGGGTAGTCCAAACCCTGTCATGCTGATACATTCCGTGCGGCTCACAGAACAATTTTAGCGTATATTTGTATCTAATAGCAGAACGTTTCTGAGTTCTTTTAGCTATTTCAACTGGGGTTGGGATCCCGAGATTCAAACCCTTTTTCTAACGCTTTGTGTCTTTATTTTAGTAAAAACACTCCTCTGTTTTCAAGCGTGGGCCATGTGACAGTAGTGACGAAACGCAGAGCCGACTTAACGCCGCGCAATCCAGTTTTTTAGCTAGGTCCAGAAATACCAACTTAGACGGACTTGGTTGTTATTTGACGATGGCACTAAGCTTGCTCACGCTGAAAATTTTAAATTACTCAAATATAACAATTCGTAATAAAATGAGTATCACAAGAAAGGTGACATAAGGAGAACAGGCGGAAACGTATTTCCTTGCACTTCACACAGTGTCTGGTTTGATTTCAAGTAATATCTGTCACGAAAAAATATAATTCGAAGCGACATTAAACGCAAGATGCGGAAAATACAACGGTGATTCTCTGGAATTAATTTTAAAATAACTGAGAGCTTTATATATTATCTTCTTTGAAGGAACGCCACCCATGCAACATAATATTAGTCTGATTAGAACGGTAAACTCTCGTTGTTTAATAAATTTAAAATAAGTAAACTCGCGATATTTCGATCACTTTTGGGTTTTCTCCGACTTGCGGCCCGCGAGACCTCCTCAAAAGTTTTTGCGGTCTTTCAATCTAGCAACCTTAAACCACCCTGAGGTAGACTACTAGGTACCGGTCAAATTTCAAACTACAGCTGTGACTTGTATTCTTTGGTATATATTTCGATTCATGTGGAGACTGGAGGCATGAATCTTTATTGTCACACTCCCTCAGGATTAGAGTTCAACCGATATATCGGCCCGATATTGCGTATTTGCCGATCTATATATCGGCTATATATAACAGTTAAAGAATCTTAAAAAAGGTTCGTAAAAGTTGTTTTATTTACTGTTGGTTGTGAATATTTTTATTGGTTAATACACTTATGTGGTATTGTTTTTATAATTAAATTACACATAAGGGGGCACCACAATCTTCAGTGCTTAGGGCACCTAAGGGGCATAATCCGCACCAGCGTGTAACGGTATCAAAACGTCTCTTTTGTCCTGAAAATTACAGAGGATTGAACTGGGAATCCTATTTTCTTTTCGATGCTGCTCCAGAATCATTCCACAGATGATAAGTTCGAGGTGTAGCGGTTGATGACAGCCGGACTGTGTTATTAATAGCAATGTGAACGATATAGTACAAATTAAATTCATAAAATTGGTGTATACCAGTTCATGACGATAACTAATGAAGACAGACAGATAAGTAATATTCAGCATCCAATACGATCTCGTGGCATGAAAATATTTAAAAGAAATGAAAATTTGGAAGGCTGCTTTGTCAATACTTCAAACAATTACTGGGATTCCACGTTTACCGGGTATCGTTCATTCATTTGGAAAACTTACCAATTTGTACTGCCCAGTCCTTTGAGTTGCAATTATTATCCTGTATTATTTATCTTCATCG